CCCAAAACTGGGGCTGCTAATGGAGTGAGGCTTAATTTTACCGGAGGACGAAGGAAAGGCAATTAAGAAAGCCTTGTGGGATTTTTAAAATTAATTATTTTAATAGTTTTCAATCAAACATTTTTGTATTAGTTTCAAGGTGTACATCACAGCGGACAGGCATCCATCTAGGTTACAAATGATCCCTCCCATAATTTAAGAGCCCATCTGGCACCATAGGTAGTTGTTACAGCATTGTTAACTATATTCCCTATGCTGTGGTTCACATTCTGCAAGCCTATTTTGTAACTAACAATTAGTATTTCTTAATCCCACCACCAAGAAAGCCTTGGTTTTTATATATTTCCTTTCCTTCCTGTTTCTATGTGGGTGACTTATCTTTCCTACTTTGGAATTTTGAAAATTAAAAAATTTGGTTTCTTAAACTCTTTTTCCCCTTCACATCTTGACTTGCTGAGAATGATAAATGTCCAGGAACAAAAATGAAGAAATTGTAGTTTTAGAAGAAACTTGGGGAAATGTGTAGAGTGCAAAAGCTGGGTATGAAATTACTTATTGCATGTATAAGTAACAGATTTTGTCTATTAAAAGCATAGATTACAACTTGAAGGTGTAACACTTCTAATCCATGATAACATTTATAAAAGGAAGACAGAGGATTATAGATTTAAAAAGTGTAATTTTATTTGTTAAGTATTGCATCGTCCTTTTACTGTGTTGGTTTATTTCTCTTATAATAAGAATTTTCTACTTCTGTTATTATATAATCCTCTGTGGGATTTTAAGGAAAATTTTTGGTTTTTCTCAGATAGTGTGAAATGGCTCACAATTAAGCAAAAATGAAATGGCCATCATTAATAATTCAAGGTCAATCTGCTTACTCTCCTTAAGCCTAAAAGTAATACTTGCTTTCTTAATTATTTTGGAGGCTATAATAAGCAGGATATATGATTATTATGTTTTGGTTGAAATTTTGGAGAGTAAATTAAAATGTAGTTAGTATTAACTTGGTAATGTGGAACTTTAAATTAATCGCACAGCTAAAAATATAACAAGAGGGAAAATAATTGTTAGCTAAACATTAATGCTAAATTTAATAATAATAGTATTATACTACTGAGTGCCCATTTTATAGGCATGAGAAGATGAAATAAGACATAACCAATTTCATAAATACACAACCAGTGTTACAAAGTGATAGTTATTCTCGTCATTCAAGGACCATGAAATAAGCCCTGTGAATTTCAAGCTATAGTAAATAATTTTAGAATTAGATACATTAATATTTTTATTATGTAAATATATCTAATTTCATATAGGCAAAGGGGTTGTTTAGTATTAGACAACATAGTACA